AAACAAAAAAATACCACTTAACATGTGAAATGTATTTAATTTTTTTTTAAGACTAAATAAAAATAATTTAACTTGATTTAAAAAAAACAGAAAACTGGTTATAATAATTTGCCCCAGTAGTGAAATTCTTTACTCCTATGGACTGGCGAACTCTTTGCTTTCTGTGGCTATGAAATTAGATAACCTTTCGTATTTAGCGAAATTGTTTAAGGAAATAGTTTATCTTCTGATGCATGCGAAATATATGGTATTTTGGAGTAAGCGAAATAGCTAGTGCGGAGTAATGCAAAGGGGAGACAACTGACCCCTTCGTAGGACATGTCCACGTTAAATTCGCCAGTTGAATACATGTAAAGGAGATTGGCGCGGAACTAGTGGTGGTTCTTGGGGGCCAGTGTTATCGCTAGTACAGAACTAGCTCCAGTGAACTGCAGGGGTACACAATACATTGACAAAAACGGTACTAGACTGTCTCGCTTTGATTTCGGAATGCTTACACATTGAGAAGTTAGCTTACTGCCAATATAGAAGTATTACATATATGGGTAAACCTGGGACTGCCGCCCCAGTGATGTCTATTATGGTTACTGGGTGTTTTATATAAATGTCTTGTATATAAAAATGTCTTATGCAAATGAATATTTAACATTTTTCAGGCGAAAAAACGCAAATGAAAATTGTGAAAATTGAATAAATAAATAAATAAATAAAATAAAAGGTGGGTTAGAGGTGCCACCGCCCCTTTAACGAACGGCCATAATGGAAAGCCAACCCGTTTAACTACAACTACAATATGCATTTGCACATACATGCATTTATATTTTTTATTATCACTGAATTCTGAAAACTCAAAAACAAATCATAATATAATATTTATATCAAATTAAAGGTAAAAACTTTCACTTTCTAATATAAATTTTTTTAGCATTCATAATAGACTTTTTCTAAAATAAGGTTATTTTATGAAAAAACTATGACATTTTTTTGTTTTATAATATTTTCGGCTGATATATATAATAAAGCATATACATTTTAAATATCAGCTTGAAGATAAATTAATTGTCTTTATTTTGACATCATTACCTTTTGAATCGGTTACGCAGTTTAGAAAATAATAATATTTTGAAATATCACCATTTTTTTGTTTTACCTTTTATATCTACTTTACTTTTCAATTGCGGCAAATAATATTTATATAGTTAAAATCAGCGTAAAAAGTACTAGCAATCTGCATTTTTAGTTTTTCTATAGCTGAACGGTTGGTTATCTTGATGTATACCCGTTTTAAAAGTAAATACACCACGATTAAGGGTTTTTATTCAAGTGCGGCCAAGGCGAAAAGGAGTTATGAGTAAAATTTTAATATTTACATCGATGTACATATATCAAAAATTTGTAATAAAAAATCGCGCTATTTTTTATTACAAATTTTCGACTGCGGCGATTTTTTTATAAAAATCGATACTTCGATAAATATTGCAAATTTGTAATAAAAAATAGCGCGATTTTTTATTTCAAATTTTCGCCTGCGACGCTTTTTTATAAAAATTGATACTTCGATAAGTAATGAAAATTTGTAATAAAAAATCGTGCGATTTTTTCGATAAATAATTAAAATTTGTAATAAAAGATCGCGCGATTTATAACAATCGATACTACGGTGAAATCGATACTTCGATAAATAATAAAGTTTTTAATAAAAAATCGCGCGGTTTTTCATTACAAATTTTCGTCTGCGGCGCTCATATTTTTTTATGTATTGGGGGTGTTTATCCCCATAACCTCCTTTACTACTAATTTGACGCTGACCAGGAAAACGGGTAAGATAAAATCTATTCTCTTTTATTGTTATTTTCTTAGATGTGACAACACTCTTTTAATGTCAGTGTAAAACAATAGTTCTGTATTCAGAATTTGTGTGTTACGTACAGTAAGTGCGCGATAATTTTAAAAACATAGTTATTTAACTAAAAAAAAACATAATAAACGTAAAAAATATTAATATATTTGATTGTGCGGGGTCTTATTGCACATATCTTGCCGCAGTGTGCACGTAAATATAGTGTTTATTGTGTGAAATAGCGCTTGAAATTTAGTTCAATTTACAAATTTTAACAACAAATAACTTAAACACTATAAGACTCCGGCAGCTAAAAACTATATATTTGCAGTCAGGAGAACTTCCCCTACGTATGTATGTATATAGATATGCCTAATACATAGTATAAAGGGAAACAAAATTAGCAAAGTTTAATATTCATATAGGTAAATAGGCAGTTCAATTGAGTATGATAATTTTAGTGTGATGAGATAACATTTTTCTTATTGATTTTGATAAACATATTTTTATATTGCTGGCTTATCCGCTGCTGCTCCGAACATCTTCCCCCCCGTTGAAAGGTCAGGGCTTTGAACCGAATCCTTCAGCGGAACGTCGCACAGCTTGTTCACGGCTCGGTGGGATATGCCGCTAAATGTTTTTACTCGTACGACACCGTCTGCTCCAGGGACAACTTCGATTACCCGTGATAGAGGCCACTTCAGTGGTGTCTTCTTCCTTTATGCACACGACATAATTGACTTGAATGTTGTGCGTTGCTGGAGAAGAGTTAGATACTCTTGAGTCCACCGCTTACAAAAAACCTGTTTATGTATGTTTCACGCTGCCATCGATCCAGTCGGTCGTAGTTTAACGTCGTTAGATCCGGTTACGGAAGAGCTGTTAGAGAACCACCAATCAAAATTGGCCTGGCGTTAGCACATGTAAATCCTCTGGATTTTCTGAAAGGGGTACGAGAGCACGAGAGTTAATTACAGCACAGATTTGACATACCAATTCATCGAAGCCAAGCAGTGGTGAGCCAACGGAACGATAGAAATGTTGTTTGGCTGTTTTAATGGCCGCTTCCCACAAACCGCCAAAGTGTGGAGAGCGGGGTGGGACGAAACGCCAATCAAAGCCATTACTGAGGCGAAATTTGTGGACTTCGCTGCGATTTTCCTCGCTGAAGGCTAAGTTCCGTAGTTCTTTAACCTCGTTCTTGGCGCCTACAAAATTCGTCGCATTGTCCGACCAGATGCAGCTA